AGCTAACACTTATATTATTGAAAAAAGAGGAGTGAGTGTAACTACTCAATAACTAGGGTTAATTTAGCATATACAAATGTATGCCAATCAATTATAGTGATGTAAGTGGAATTTATACATCTTTCAAAAGTTTATGACTTTCTTTCAAGTATTTGTCATGACCACAATATTAACAACTATGTGGCTGAGCACAATCACACAACAAAACTCACATCAATAATAAAAATATATGCACATAAGGGGACACAATACTAATAATCTTATGCCCCCATCAAATTATGCAAGACCACAATAATAACAATTATGTTATCATATAATGATATGCACAATGGCTTAACTTATAGCATGCATTTAATCATCATGAATAGCATGCAATATATCATCATTAATTATCAAATCACAAGTTATTTCACATCCATATATACCTTCTCACACAACATCCAATAACCACCATATTAGAATCAACATTCATAGCTTATTCATTATCACACAATCAAACCCAACAATGCATTCGTTCATGTTCTCAACCAATCAAGGTCATTTTGCCAAATATCATTCAAAACATTAATTTTAAGCCATACTTGCATTATTTACATACACTTGAAAACATACTCATAATTTCAATACATAGTGTAACATACTTGCATCGCACACATTTCAAGCATCTTAATTTGGTTCATAAAACTATATCACAAATTAATACACGAATATAAGAATACGATTTCTCTCGATTACCCTTGCCTCTCAATACAATTTCTTCTAAAGCTTCTTCAAAATTTGAATGGTGTTAATTTGTGATTAATCTACAATTAATTATAGTAACAATCATTAATATCCTCATTAGGATAATCCATAAATTTTAACTCTACACTTCCAAAACTCCCAACATCTTAATCTCTCACTTTTAAACATACCCATTAGGTTTATCAACTTCCCTTAGTTCACATTAACTTGAATGTATCATCCATTATCATTAATGGCCTTTCTACACTCCCAACAACCTTCATAAATGCCATTTTCGGACATTTATGGCTTCTACTGATTAAATGTTTGTAAAATTTTTAATGTTAGGCTTAAATAACCTAAACAACTCTCATTAGTTCTATCTAAATTTATGAGTTCAAACTCATAACCTTTATGGATCAAAGACTACTTTCTCAATTCAAGCCCTAACTCAAATTTTAAAGGTAGGTAAAAGAGGAATGGAAGAGGAAGCTTGGAAAATTTACCTTGGGTATTATCAACCTCTAAATTGCCCATAATCCTTCCAAATAGTAAGTCCTAATAGAGCACTTCACGTGCTCCTTGTTTTCTCTTTTGTTTTTTTTTTTAATTTTCAATTTGATTCTCACTCTTATTGCTATAAAATCACAACCATGCACCATGACATATGGTATAGAGACATGTACTTCATAATTTGGTGACTCGTGCACCATAGTATATGTCATAGAGGCACTTTTTCTTGTTTTTCTCCCTTCTTGAGGTTTGGGCATTCTAACTCTACTCTGGACCCAATACTAAAGCTGAAATCACAATTCAAAACGTTTGTTAGAATCCTCTAATCACACACCACATTAATTTACTTAATTAACCTCAGTTAACTTAATTAATAAGTAGGGTTTAATTTTTCATGATGTTACAATAATACACAGACATAGACAATTAAAGAAGTTATATTCCACTGTGCATAATAAATAAAACAAGTTCTAACGTTTCTCTTGATCAATTTTTAAATCTAAGACCTTAAAATCAGTTCAGACTATGTATACAAAGTTGGCATCCTATTTTTTAAAAGGATGTTGAAGTTAGACTCTATATATAGTCCTCAAGGTTAATTAATTAGGGCGTGGTAAGATAATAAATATCAGGTTTGTTTAAGTCGACAACTCAAAGTCTAAGATATATTATTTTCAAAAAATGGAATATGTTCCCCAGATATAATTTTTGTTAGTTAATTTTTTGGCCAAAATTTTTTGTTTGCTAGACATTTAATATTGGGTTTAGATACTTTGTATGGTTAGATTACTAAAATAACCCTTGTAAAGATAAAATACTTGGGACTAGACTAAATACCTGTGGAGACGAACATTAGATTAAAACGTCATGTTGATATAGACTCACCAAATTTTATACATTACTTTACAAAAAATAATAGTTTTAGAATTGGTTTGTGCTTCTTATTACCTTCCGTGAGTTAGTGTTTCGTATTCCATCACCCAACATTTTGGAAAATTTGGGAGTATTACCGCTACCGAACCAAACTAATCTAAACTTTTACCACGCGAGATCGTTATTACTGGCAGTGATCTCAGGGGTGCCAAGGGATGTGTTTTGACATATATGTTCTAAGACTACTTGAATTTGAAACTTCATGGTAAGTTAATTTAACTCATTCAATTCGTTGAACCAAATGTCCCTCTATACATTAGTGTTTTTTTTTTCCACTATGATTTAGTAACGTATCAAATTTTTTTTGTGAGGGGGGTCTGGGTACGCCACTTATTACAAATATTCTAAATGATTAAAAATTAAATAAAGTATTTAAGTGATACATATTAAAACATAAAAAAAAATTTCACATCAAACATGATATTATCAGCCATTCATTTGGAGACCAAAAACAACAAGAAAAGAAAAAAAAAAGAAAAGAATGAAAGAATGAAAGATGGAAAAAAAGAGAGCAAGAGAGATCAAAAAGAGAGAGGGAAAAGGAGAAGAAGAAGAAATTAAATAAACTTGAGACCTTTGATAGTACAAATAGTTATAAGCCTAGGCAAAAAGAAGATGAAAAAAAGAGGAGAAAAAAACTGGAAGAGAAAATATTAGAATATAAAAGAAGTCCTACATCTAAATATTACAAGATAGATTGAAAATACATAAGCTCATGAAGTATCTAACCATATGACTTAAACTATTTTGGTGAAATATACTATTCTTAAACATACTTACAATACAGCCAAAAAAATAATAAGCGGTCCGATCCAGTGACTATTTCCTCCTTGTTAAACTCCTATTCTGTTTTCTTAATCTGAAATTCTGAACAGGGTGGGGGGAAAACACACGCGCACGAGTTTAATTAGTATTTGTACCTCCATTATAGGTGTTTGATTAAATATATGATAATGGTCTAATTTGCATAAAAATAGAGAACAAATGGTCAAAGCAGCTCACTTCTACAATTATATGCTAATATTCTGCACTTTCACTGTCTGATGAAGAATTTAACAATGCCCATGAAATTCATTATCAAAAAAGCATAGCCAAGAACTGTTTAATGAACAGACATCGAAGACAAACTTTATGAATTATAAACCACAGCAGGTAAAATTAATATAAATTCAATTCTTGAGTCATTGTGATCCAATTCAAAGGCGAAGTTCCATTAATGAAATATAAAAGGGGGATATATATCAGCTTATCCATCTTATGCTGAACTATAAACCATATGTGACTTGAAGTTCATGTATATATTGTCATCTTGCTAGCCAGGTATATATTGGGTTAATTAATTAGGCAAATTAAACTAAGTATATTTAAAACATATCCAAATTGAAGCAAATAAAGGCCACTCATATAAAATGAAAAAAAAAACCAACAAGGATTATTAAGCGCCATTATAGTCGTCAAAGGTGTGGTACGGCTTCACTAAGTAATCACTACTGGGGTGCAAGCAAAGCAAGCACTTTCTTCTTCGCCAGGCTCTTTTATATATAAACACATTAAGTGCAGAATAATTAAAGAGAAGTATACATCTCTGCAATATTTAAGTACTTGGCCACCATGAAATCAACCTACCCCATCAAATCCACACTCACTTAGAAACTTGATCTATATATTCATCATCAGAATATCACTGATCTTCTTAATTACGTTACATTACTACAGCCTTCCCGTATGGTCCGGTCCAGTCAAAACCTTAATCAGATTAAAGATATACAAGTGTGGTTTGAAAGTCTGAGCATGTCATTTGAGCATCGTAAGATCAAAGTTCTAGCTAGGGTAAGTAGTTGCAGACAGAGAATCATCTCATTTGTTTGTTTAGATTAGAAGATTCAGAACAGATAGTTGAAGTTGAACCAAAGTATATGTCAGTAATTAAGAAAAACCTAACCTTCCATTTCATCAGATGATCTAAACTGGAAGCGCTTTTAATTTGACACTTGTGTGTGTGGGGTTTGTGTGCGCGCATCTCTACCTGTCTGTCAATATCTCTATGTGTGCACGTATCCAGAAGAGAGAGAAAATGAAAGATGATCATGATGCATGAAAATTGAAATATAATATGCAGAGGCATCGACAGTCAGAAAAAGCATCCTAACTACTGGTGAAGCACCTATATAGAGATTAGAGAAGATTAACAGACAGTAGACATTTTTTTCCCAATTTTTTGAGATTGTCTCCTTTTTCTCCTGGTACATGAAGCGCAAATAAATATGAAGAGGTGGGATTAGAAACACTAATTCATAAGAAGCGAAACTGTGATATAGAAGATTGTATACAATCAATAGTAAGTTCTTCATGATGAGGAACACGTTATATATATATGACTATTCACTACTGTTATATGTTAATAAATTAAATTTAATGGTCCAGAAATAAAAACACTACTATTACATTCTCTTAAAACAATGCCAAAAAGAGCCACCTTTTTTTCTCTGATAAAACCAATTTGTATACCTAACACGAGTATCTTTAATAATGTTCATATTGAAATGACCTAGTCAAACTCAAACCAATGACTTCATAACAAAGAAGCTTCCTAGCTAGTTGAAATGTGAAGATTAGGGGAGGGTAAGTGAGGGCCGCAAAAAAAAAAAAAAAAAAAAAAAAAACAAAAAACAAAACAAAAAAGAAAAAGAAAAAGAAAAAGAAAACGAGTGGTTAGAAATTGTGCTTCATGTTTGACGACAAACCAGTCCTTCATTGAAACAAGAAGTAAATGCATGTGCAAAGCGATTGTTCAAAGCAGAACAATCCTTAAAACATTCCAGAAAAGGAAATAACTGCTCAAAGAGATCTATAGATCCATGGAAATGGATAAAGAGAGGAAAACAAGTGAGATGCTGGTTAAGAAGTACAGTAATTAATTATAACTCCTCAAAACGCAAAAAACTACATCATCATCAAGAGAAGAAAATAAAGAGGGAGAAGCATATAAACTCATAGTGGCAATCTCAGTAGTAGTAGTCCTTGAATTTGCTGACCTTAATGCGTATCCACAAAAAAAAAAAGACTTTTTCTAGTTAAAAGGACGGACGCGGACCGGAGCTTCCGGTCCAACCGTCGACCGGCAACTGAACATTGTGCTGCTGCTGCTGCTGATGCGGCGGCGGCGGCATATTAAGCGGCAAATTGAAGAAAGGTAGACCGGAAGACGGGTCAGGATACGAGTTATTCCCTCCGCCGCCGCCAGAACCCCCCTGAGTGGATCCAGGGGTATGCATCTGAAGCTGCTCCTGCTCCTCATCGTCCAACGGGAGTCTCTCGTACGCCACGTTCGTGAACGAAGAAGCGATCACGATCACCGGACCTGCCGCCCTCAGCTCCCCCACCACGCTTCCTCCGACCACTTGCCCTTGCCCTCCGCCCAAGTATATCGTCAGGCTGGTCGCACCGGGCGGCGCCGGAGGCGGTAGGAACGATCCCGATAACGACAATATCTCAAACCTGCCGTGGAGACTCACAACAGCTCCAGCACCTCCAGGCTGCCTTAGGGTGACATTTGTCACCGTGCCACTCCCGCTTAGAATACAGATCCCTCGCTGCCTCCGGCGAGCGTAGGTGGCGACACAGTCGAACACGTCGCACCCGTTGCCGACTTCAAGAATATGAGCTCGGAGGGTGTTGGCACTCTCTCTGGTTATTATGACGGGCGGTTTGGGCTTGTTCTTGGAGCCCGGTGGCCGTCCACGTGGTCGACGGCCCACGATGTCGCCGGGTCCTGTGGAGACAAGCTCGAGGCCTTGGTGGGGACCGTCGTCGCCAGAAAAGGGATCGGCCCGATGCACATCTTCCTCGGATTCGCGTTGCTGATGTTGATGCTGCTGCTGAAGGTGCAAGTTAGGTCTGTGGAGATTTGGAACAAAACGAGAAGCAGTGCCTAAATCCAGACCAGCCATAGACACATCAAAGAGAGAGAGAGAATAAAATTATTAAAAGAAAACAGGAAACAAAAGGAAAAATAATTTTATGATGGAGGGATATTAAATACTATCTAAGTCGAAGGAAATTTTTTAAGAAACAGTAGTTTTGGTTCGTGGTTTGTGCCTGCTTTTGTATATTTTAAGGGCTCTGGAAAATATATAGAAAATGGAAAAAAGAAGAGGGAAAGGAATTAAAACCAAGAGAGGTTCAGTGAGAGAAAAGGTCTGAAATCGAGAATCTGATAAGCGATATGTGAAAGGAAGAAGAAACAGGAGGTGCAGGTGGTGTGATAGAGTTCAGAGAAACAGAAGGAAGACGATGATGAAGAGAGAGCAGAGAGAGAGGGGGGGTGCGACGGACGACGAAGGAGACAAGGGACTAAAAACGCAGTCGTGTGTTTGGGCAACCAAAAGTTTAAATATTAAAAAGAGAAGAGAATAATAAAAAATTAAATAATCAGTTGGGAAAATGGTTAATACGCTTTCTTATTCGAAAGGACGGCGACGAAAGAAGGGTTAATTAGCAGTGGTAAATGGTAATCACTCCTACCAGGATGCGCGTGCCTCCACGCGATGTTTAATTCATCGTTCCAATAAACCCTACAAATTATTCCGAAACCATCCTCCTTGAATATATTATTATTGGAGGAAATTAATAGTGCTTTAATACATATTTTATCGCTGGGTTGGACTTGGGATGTGAGGAGAATTTGAATTCTCACATCTTTTTAAATAATTTTAAAAAATAGTTTTACTTCATTTTTATCATTTATATTTTTTTTGATATTTTTATCTCTTTTATTAATATAAATTATTTATAAATTAAAAGAGCTTAGTTATAAATAGTTAAACCATACCAAATAAATTGAACGTGGAATAAGTTTATAGAAAATAAAATCATAATTTTCTTTAAAAATAATATAATTGTGAGAATTTCATTAAAAAATTACTGAAACAAACATATCACCAAACTATGACATAATACTTTGATAAACTTTTGTTTGCTTTGGTACTCAACAAATTTGTTTATATGCCCTTTACTCTCAAATCTCAAATATTAACTATACCATAAAAAGTGGCATTTCTTTCCCTTTTTCCATAAAATTAATTTAATTAAAAAATATTCATCATACATGTCACTTATTGATATTGTCTTTCATAATCACCCAACAATTTTATGTCATGGCTTGTGTGTTTTAGAGGCGACAATTTTAATTGGACACAAATTGAATGAGATTTGAATACTACTATAGCACTTATTTTAAAAAGTATATCAATTTTAAATATATTAAATATATATATAATAGAAACATTTTTTTGAATCTTTTTGCTAATCAAATTAACTCTTGAGCCTGGAAAATGTATATATACTGTCTAAGAAATTGATTTTATTGCAAAGAAATAAATTAAGATATACGAATATAATTTTTAAAACAAAAATGGTATAATTTCTCTATTTTAAAAATATAAGCAGATAGATCAACTGGCAGTGTCCTACTAGAAGGGGCTTTGCATGCTCATGTATGAGGTTTCAAGTTCGAGTTTGTTTGAATGCAAATATATAATAAGCACGTGCATAATCACTTTTTTTAACGTATTCCTACATCTGGCAATCATAAGGGGTTATCTTCTTCCAAACGATCTTTTCCATGCACATCTCAAAGAATTAAACTCTAGAATAATATTTAAGAAACTCAAATCACTATCCACTTGGTTACGTAATTGCTTTTTTGCCATAACTAAATACACAATAGAATCAGGCAAAACTGATGTTAATTCATCTCAACAAATTAAGTTGTCATGAATTTCATATAGTGGAGAGCTATTCTTGAGTGAGGTTCTATGTATTAATGAGCAGAACTAGCTTTTAATGCACCAGATTTTATGTTCCACCGGGAAGATAACAATTTTTCTTAAAGATTTATGGAAACTGACTCTGAATAATGAGATTTGAGATTTGAGCATAAAGTATGCGCGTTTAAAAATATATAGCACCTAACCAAAAAGAGATGCGTATATATGTGACAGAATTCCAAGCTTTGATCTAATAACAAAACTATTTCAGATTATGTTTTGCAAATCTATTAACTGAATTATGATGAATTAATCAATTTATGTTACATTGAAGATTCAGAAAAATGGAGAAGACATATCAGTTTTGGGGCTTAGAATCTTTTTGGCCGAAAAAAACTTGAAATGATTTTAAACTAAACCTCTCCCAATTGGTTTTTTAAATGTTTTGGTAGGTTATAAAGACAATAGTACATTTCTGCTATTTATCACAGTCAAGTGATTCATTCCAAAATAGAAAACACGGTATCAATGCTAAAATTACTAATGGATTATATTCCTATCTAATAGAAATCAACTGATTGAATTTTAAATCTGTATTGTCTCTAAAATGAAATCACGACTAGTGTGTCCTAGTGCAATTCAACTGATATATAGCTCTATAAATTTCACTTGTTGCTCTCAAGTTAGTGAGAAATTAACTTGTCTACCTTATAGAATCGACTGGCCACCTCAATGTTTGAATTTTTTCAAACAGGGTAATAAGCCTTGCCAATAATATCCCTTCCACTTTTGTCTCAATTTTTTTGTTTGATCGAGCACTTTTGTCTTAATTTTGATTACTATATTTCATCACCTTTTATGGGTTAATTTGGCATTCACATTCACCGATTTATGCTAAGTATTTGAAAATTTTCATTTCATAGTTTTACACAAAGATTGCTTCTTAATTAGCACAAATCTAAAGGAAAAGTCTATATAAAAGAATTAGTTTGTTAAGAGGGAAAGTAGTCCCTTGAGCTATTGATCATGCAAGATTAATTTTTAAAGAAGCTCCTCAATATTAAACTCATAACAATATACATTTTCATTTAAAAGTTGATGATGTTTTGGCTAAAAGTTTCATTTCATAACACGTCACTTGATTTCTTGCCCATCAGAATATCCTCCCCGTGGGTAGTCTTCCCCACAAAATCAACCTTCTAAGGAGATCTAGCATCAACGTTATATGCATAGTTTTGAGTCCAACATCAAAAAAAAAAATCTCATAAAAGAAATGTGGTTTATAAGTTTAATTAAGGGATCTTCAATTATCTTTATAGACTAGTGTTTTGATATTAGTTCTCATATAATTTGAGCTTGCACTCATAACATTAATATCTTTATTTTGAGAGGCCAATAGCATATGAAAAGGCTATATCCACAAAAGGTTTTGATCAATGAGAGGCCAAAACAGGTTGGATTAATAAGTTCCTCCTAGTTACTAGTCATGGATTTTCCCTTTTAACATGTGCTCATAACAATCAGTAAATTACCGCTTATGTACGTGCATTATATTAGCTAGAATCATATATAGTAATTAAAGTACCCCGATATTAATTGGTTAAGAACCCGAGATATGATTTTCAACTATAATACGAAAAAGTTAGTGCTTGAATTTTTGTAGATGGTATTTAATTGCACTGTAGTTAAGTATATTCATGAATTGAATTTGAAAATATTTGTGGTTAATGAATGACAATTTATAGAGCAATTTTACTGTTTTAACGATCAAGGCCATAATATCATGCATGTATATTCTCTGATTAAAAAAATATATTCGAGGGTACGTTTATACAAGCGATATATATATATATATATATATATTAATCAAAATGTGTCATCAGAACCGTTGGGCTAATTTTTTAAAGCGAAAGAGACAACGTCAAATTTAGGTTTAACTAAATCTCAATAAAGTTAGCCTAATTTATTATATATGAAACTAATATTAAAAATTAACATGTTAAAAAAGTTAACATGATTTTGAGTCAATGATTTGATCCCCTATTTATTTGAAAAAGAATATAAACAATTCTTATCATTACTGTATTGGATCATGTTCTTCTCCTATTATTAATTAAAATATATATGTCATTAAAATCTGGATGACATGGTTAGTTTATGCAGCAACGGGAAAAAATTATATAATAAATCTAAAAGGTGTGCTCGTTTATTGAATATTATACATCTAGATAAATTAAATTTATTATTACGCGTATGTGTAACCAGGACATGTTTGAACAAGTGTTGGATTTTATATATATATATATATATAACTAACACTCTCTCTTTCAAAAATATAAAACATTTTTAACCAAATCTCACCACCAATAAAATAATTACTTACTTTTAAATTAATCATATCTATTCACATTTATCTCTATTAAATAATCTACAATAAATATAAAGTTAATATCAATAAGAGTATTTTTGAAAATAAGACAACAATTATATCTTGAAAGGCTAAAAATACCTTACATTTTTAAATATTCTTCTCAAAAAATACCTTACATTTTTAAACGAAGGGAGTATGTATTTATTACATATAAAGAAAACTATATAATTTGATTAAATTAAAATATTTAATTGCAATTGGCACGTTGATAGGCAGCTGCATGGACGGTAGGTATAATTAAACATCTTAAGTCTATAAGGTTGTATATAAAAATAAATGAACGCATACACTAAAGTAGAAAAAAATTGTTGTCGGACGAAAAAACAAATAATGATATGGTTGTTTATATTTTTATGGATATCTTATTGATATGTGTGAGTTTGTAACTGAAGAGAGTAACATGTTTTTTAGATCAAAGTAGAGTACTTTATTTTATAATATAATATATAATTAATTACGTAATAATTCCTCCAACATTTCTTAAAGATTAATTTATACTTCTTGTGGCGTTACAATAAAAGTAGAAACTCATGATTCAAGAACGTACACCTGCACATCACGTATCCTTGTTAAGTATTTCCTCTTTTTAAAAATATAATAAATAATTAAAAGGAGAGAGTGATCGTACTCTCTCTGTTTTTTTCCCCCTTCTCATCTTGAGTTCTGAGACGCATCAATATCATACGAGACTTCCTTACAGCACGCAGCCAGGATCTAAGTCAGTACAAAATAATTTAATTTAAAAATTAATATTAAAAAATAATTATATTATGACTAAAATTATAATTAATAATATAAATAGATTATTTTTTTCTTTTGAAAATAAAATTATATTAAATAAGTTGACATATTCTTTTACATAAATATAGTCTTCACATTTTATTTCGATTATTAAAGTATTATATATTTAATAAAATTTTGGGCCTGAAATAATTTTTATTTAGCCTAGAGGGTGCAAATATTAAGAGTAATATGTGCAAAATTGTAAAATTTATAAGTTATAATTTTTTTTTTCCCAAAGCAAGAGGTGTGCGCATTTGCATATACCATCGCTGTAATTTGGCTCCGCCGTTGCTCCCTTGTAATGATGCATCATCATCTTTATTATTATATATAATCCATATATTTAATCAATTGAAAAATTATTAGACAAGTAAG